GAATGATCAACAGTAGGGTATATGTAGATACAAGTGTAGGGGGGAGAGGAAGCTCTTAAGAAGGAAAAAAATGATTTTTTCTTTTTTTTGCTTGGAAATGACCACAGGGCAAGAACAAAAATAAAAGATTGCCTCTCCTGCAAGCCCTACTCAGCTTAGCTAGTGGTTTGTCACGAGCAGAAAACACAGCATTTGGGTTGGCAGACAGCCATAAAGGATATGAGCGGATGAACACCAGCCTTCAGGAATCATTTCACTCTGCCTATGAGATGGGGTGACATGTACTTGGGCTTTGCTATAATAATTACTATGTCAGGGAGAGGTGAAATGTTTTAGTAGTATCTGTCTTTATTAAATCCTCCCAAGTAACCCTAAGGAATAAATCATGCTGCATCTCTTACTTTTGTGACCTATGATATTTCATAATTAAAACAAGTTCTCATCAAAGGTGCAATCAATCACCAACCCCTACCTCCCTAGGTAAGACAGTACACCTGAATGTACTTGATCATGGACAAGTGTGGGCCTTCCATATTAATGCTCAAGAAGATGACTTCTTGCTCCACTACAGTCTGGGGCTCCTGCCAGTTCCAGAGTGAGCAGAACTTTTGCCAAGAATGATTTGGACTAGGTTAGGATGAGTGGAAGTTGGGCAGGTCCAAAGGAACCAAGAGGCCAACATCAGCTAAATCAAACTAAGTGTTAAATGTAGCCATATTTTTCTGGGTAAACAAACATTCAGATTGAATGACAATTATCCTCTTTCCACATCCCAACATGTTACTAATAATTAATGAAGCAATATTAAAGTGAGCATAAACTACTTCTCTATGGAAAACTTTTCTCATCTGAAGTTGCCTTCTAAGGGAGAAATGCTCTTGCTAAAATACAACTGTTTATCTTTGGAAAGAAAGTATTCTTTAAAATAGTATTACCTAGCTATGAAAAATAAAATGAATTATACTCATCATTTACAAATTTCGGCCACTTCTCTTTGGGGTAAAGACACACCTTTAAAATAGAAATTGTTTCTAGAAAACATTCATTTAATTTATATCCTCTCATTCAGATGCAAACATAATCAGAACTCTTTCAAAAATGTGTTTAAATAGATAGGGTAGATTTTTTTAAAAGTATAGGTAATGAATCCCAATGTAAGATTTCTGCTCATGTGCATTGAACACATAGATTTGCAACATATAAACAACATGAATTTCCTGCTCCTCCCTTGCTTTCAATTGTGTAAAGAATTCATAAAGGGAAATGTCAACCCAATGGAACTTTAATGTTCTCAAATTTAATCTTCTATTAAGCAGAATTACAAAAGAAAAAATACAGCAAAAAGATATAGTACAAATGCACTTAAATCCACTCACTACATTATAGATTGTAAAAAATTAAAATATATTATCTATTGGATTTTGCACAGTACAGTCAAGGACATCAGGCAACTGACTTGATAATTCAATAAACTATTTACAAGTTTTCTAGCTAAATGAAAGCTTTGGGTAAGCTGCACGCTGGAGCTACTTAGCATCACAAATACACTTAGCAGAAAACCATCAAAGCATAGCTGTCACTTTGGTGCTTCTGGAGAAAGAGCTATCACGTTGGTAAGTTTTAGTCTAAAAGGGAGGCCTTTTATGAGAGATTATAAATATCGATTTCACAAACTGACTCAGAGCACTTTATGAGTTTGTGTACATAATATCAACTCTTTCATTTATATCACTGAGTTAAATTTCAATGGAGATACAAACACAGGATTTTTCAGGCAAATCGTGATTGACTCTTAAGGACAATTTGGAGTTCTTATTTCTTCCTGAAGAGCTCAAGTTTTTTTGAGAATTCGAATGGCAAATCACAGCTTAAGAGACCAGAGTTCTAATATATATTTTATTCTATCTATAGAGCTAGCCACCCAATCATCCAGAGAGAAAGCGTCTTTTCAAATAAAGCATCCAATGAATATAATTTGACAATTCACTGGATGGTGTACCAGGGGCTAGAATGAGTTACAAAAGCAGAAAGGCAGCCCTTGCCCTCAAAAAGACCCCATGTTCTAAAACGAAACAAAGGAGGAAAGTGACTAAATACATGCAGGTATACTAACATTTACACAGCTTACACATAAGATACATATATGTGTATGTACACATATATGTCTGTATAATAAGTGTATATAATACACACACATAAGAAAGTTCAATCTTTTTACAAATTATATGTTAGGCTCAATCTGTCACATACTGAATCTTCTTTATGCACAGGTACCGAAGATATGAACTTTTCTCACTGCTATAATTTGGTTATATTTTTTAAGCTCTTTCTTATGGGTGAATACATGAGAGAGTATTACTTTGGTTCCAAAAATAGGACAATAAATTGAGACCTAAAAACCAATTGGAAAGAAGACCAATAACCTAAGGCCAGTAGTAAAATTGAACTTTACAAAACAGCCTCAGTGGGTGTATCTACTAGATCATATTTCCTTAGAGAAATAGCGAGCTCTTCTATAGAAGAACTGCCATAAATAATAGAAGCTGGGGAATATTTCTTAAATAATGAAAATTCCTGACAATTTATTTTCAGATGAATTAAGAAAATATGGATAACTTCAACAAATGTCAACAAATAACACACACACACACATACACACACACACAAAGGGGGGTCTGCAACACATAAGAGCAAAAATATAATGAAATCCACAGACAACTTTCCACAAATACAATTTTAAGTAAAAGTATGCTTTAGAAAAGAAAGGCCTCTAGTGACAATTCCCTTTAAGTTTAGTATTTTTTACAGTAGCATTTTTCCTTGCCATTCATAGACTCACAAGTGAGAAGGAGAGCTTATTATTTACTATCTTGATCAATTATGTTAAAATATCAAGTATGGATTAGGGTGAAGTTTTCCAAGTTTAAACCACATATATTATAGATACCTAAAACCTCTTTGCATCAGAATACATGCCATGTTAAATTTGATTTCTGATAACTAAATCTCAGGATTCACTTCTGAGCATCAAAACCAATGCCTTTGGAACACTACCCATTTCCTTCCCGAGTGCAAAAGCTAGAAATAGCTCCTGTGGACAAAGCCATCTTTGCTTAGTTTTCACATATGGAATTTATCTAAATTATTTTTGAACACGGGATTAATTTTTAGTGTGTACTACTTAAATGTACAAGTTTTAAACATCAGTTAAGTGTTTAGAACAAGTTACCTTTAAGTCCTAACAGGCATACAAGTACTTTATCTTATCCATACCCTCAAATTTGATAGACAGTTTTTGATACATTTGCATATACACAGTGAGAATACAGTTTTGGGATCTGTGCTCAAATGAAGTCCTTTTACTCCCTGGATAATTTTCTAGTTCATAAAAGTAGCATATAAAACTAGTGTTTACCACTAGTTTTATAAAGGCTTCAGTTTCTTTTATGGTTTTGAGGAGACAAAAGAATTATCACACATTATTTATAATTATAAATGCCTAGCAGTTATTTACTTCTTTAAATGCCTGGAAAATCCCCTGGGAGGGTAAACTAGTCTTCAGACAGAGGATTAATTTCAAAGTCCTCTTTCTGATCATCAAGCTGGGTCATACTTTCTTCATACTGAGGATGATTCTCTCCTCAAACTCCCCCTACTTGGGTTGGTTCCCTCCTGTTTTCATTAATCATATCCCACCCTTCCCTTCCCCAAACTGTTGTACTTGGGAAGTTTTTTTTTCTTTTTTTGGACAAAATTTGTGTGGATTTTGCAATCCTCTGAATTGTTTTTTCCCCAATATGCTTTACATTTGCTTTGAGGGAAGAAACCAGGATCATTATTTTACTCCACATAACTTAAAAAAAATAAGACTAGCCTAATACTTTGCCCTGTCTTAGAACACAAACATTTTTTGCCATTATAATAATTTTTCATTTTTAGCAAGTTATATATCTTTTATAAAAACTTACAAAAACAGTTAGAGATGTCAGTCTTGAAATGACAAATGATATCTAAATAGAAGTAGTACTAGATATGTTATTTATATTAATCAACTAGACATTGGATTTCCATTCCATTAAACAATCTCTATAGAAAGTCTGATCAAAATGGGGATTAGAGGGAAGAAACAAATAGACTTAGTAATAGAAGCCTGTGTAGCTATTCTGCTAAAAGTTTCAGTCTTAGAGGATTTGCAGACCCATGTTTAAGGCACACTTCACTTAAGAATAAAGAACTTATTAACAACTGTCATCTTGTACTTCACCTACTCAATTAATTAAAATGTATATATCAGTCCATGTATAATAACAGTATGCGATCATGGGAGAAATTTGAGTTCTCTATCATAATTCTTAATTAAATCTTAGTTTCTGTTATATGTTATTTCAAAGCTAAATGAAATATTCTAATCAACTTTGCTTAAGATGGCAATTTTATTTGATATCTACATGACAGTGTATGCCTTAGGTTCCATTTAGGAAAACAGCTTTGATTTAGGGGGAAAAGGTAGAAAAATAGCTCAGAAGAGACAGAAAGAGCTGTGAAAACACCGACAAGATTAGGAACAAAGAAAATTAGGATGAAGAGTTAGGTAAAGGAAAAACAGAACACCAGTTTTGGAGTATGCAGATGAGACCGCTCATTGTATCTATAGCCATAAAGTAACTGACATTCTCCCAATATTATTGCATACACATACACACAAACCTTTTATAATATGATTAATCAAATAGCATTTCAAGATAATTTAAAAACCAACTGGATTTCATTTTTGTAAACATCATTATAGCTAATATTACCAAGTTGTTCTCGGCATTGCCTAGGAGTGGGCAGAGCTTCTATTACTAATTCTATTATATTAATTTCTACGCTCTTATCCACTCTTGTGAACTTCTAATAACTTTTTATGAGCTACTTATAACAAGATAATGACTTCAATTTCAACAGGAAATAATAAAGGAGATACTTTTTCAGCTCTGTATTTGCTTCATGTACTTTACCTGATTCTTGAGATCCAATTTGGGACACGGGCGACCTCCATTGTACGGTTTTTCTTTCAGCCATTTAGATCGAATTCTCACTCCAATCCCACAAGATGAGCTGCAAGACCCCCAACTTGACCAGTCGCTTAACTTGCAATCAAATGGGCAAGGAATGACACATTCTTCTTGAATATAGCCTGGAAAATATTTAAAAGAAGTGAAGAAAGTCTGATCAAAATGTCCTGATCAAATTTACTTGTTTCCATTATTAGAGATCAGATTGCTTAACAATATTGCTTCAGGGGTTTCAATAAACAAAAGGTTTCCAAGAGAGATACATATGACTACTTCTCCATTCCAAATCTGTGCCATCTGCTTACTTCATAGGCAAATCTGGGATTGAGGAAGGAAGAAGGGAAAAGTGCAAAGTCTTGCTTTCTGATAAGAAGAAATGAGGCAGCTCAGGGTTAATGATGGTACTACCTCCCCTTGCACTGGATCTACATTTCCTCTTCTGGGAACAGAGAGCATAATATAGTCAATCTCAGCGCCTTTGGTCTGCAAAGATTTCACAAAGAAAGATCTTGATTCTCACTGCTGTGTGGTGTGACTTGAAGGTAGGAGGAGGGCAAAGACTGAACCACAGATTAGGAAGGGCAGGATACTACTGAAAAAAAAAAAAAAAAGAGGAATAGTGAAAGGCTGTACACGAGATGCTGGACTGGAATCAAGAGGTGAGAGTTGAAGTATAGTTGTAGATGTTCTAGCTTTACTAGCTCTTATTCCTGTCCTCAGCCCACTTCTTGCTACAATCTTTCTCTGATTAACCATCACCTCTACAGATCATTACCAAATATGTGTTCCCAATTTCCATCTCTCCAATAAATTCTATGCCACCTACTCATCTACTCTAATCAGATGCCCTATTACCCTCAAATTTAACATGTCTAAAGTTGAGGTCACCAGTTTTCTCCTAGAAGATTCTAATTTTCTTATATTCTTCACCTTAATTAACTGCAACATATCTGATTTCTGTATACTGTTGTATGAAGTCACTCAGTCGTGTCCGACTCTGGGATCCCATGGAATGTAGCCCACCAGGCTCCTCAGACCATGGAATCTTCCAGGCAAGAGTACTGGAGTGGGTTGCCATTTCCTTCTCCAGGGGATCTTCCCGACCCAGGGATTGAACCCAGGTCTCCCACGTTGCAGGCAGATGCTTTACCATCTGAGCCACCAGGGAAGCCCATACTGTATATACAGGTGTATATACCTGTATAATCTCTTTCCTTTGAATTTGGGCAAGACCTGTGATTAGATTATGGTATGTGCAAAAGGGAAGGGAATGCACAGATATTACGAGTATGCCAAATTTTGAATTAATCCAAAGGAAGATTATTCTGAGGGGTCCTGAATTAATCAGGTGAAAATCTTTAAAAGAGTGGGCCTTCTGTGTGTGTGTGTGTGTGTGTGTGTGTGTGTGTGTGTAGAACAAAATTCTCCACTGGTCTTAAAGAAGCAAATAGCTGTGCTATAAAATGCCTACAGGTGGCCACAGGGCAGGGGACCACAGGCAGCTGCTAGGGCCTGGGGACAGCCCCTGGCTCTCAGCAAGCAAGGAAACAGGGGTCTCAGCTCTGCAGGTTATAATACATGAAGATGATTATGCCAGCAATTCCAAGGGAGCTTGGAAGAGGAGTTTCCCTCAATCACACCTCTGCAGAGCCTTACATCTCAGCTCACAACTTGATTAGTCTGGTGAGACTCTTCAGCAAAGAATTCAGAGAGGCCACGGCTGTACTCCGGACTCACGGCAACTGTGAGATAATACATGTTTTCAAGAGCTATGTCTATGTTAATTTGTTATGCAGCAATTGAAAGCTAACAGATTATCCAAAATAAAAATTATTTCAGTTACCTTAGACCAGGCTCCATCATTTTACACGTATATTAACTAGCTGTTATGTTGAAGCATCACAACAATGTCCCCTGCTCTATAATTCTTCTGGTTCATCCCTGGTTCAACTCTTTCTAGCCCAGAATACTGAAATATTCTCTCCACAAGTCTCCTTTTCTCCAGATTATTCTCTTTGGTATTGGTCAGTCACTCTGAGGAAAAAGTTACTTTTCTAAAATACATAATAATTTACACTAGTCCTTTTATAACCTTTGCTGATTCTCTATTGTCTTGAAAGTAAAGTGACAACCACTTTGCAAAAACTATAAGATTCTTCATAAGTGGCTCTAAACAAAGATTTTCAACTTTGGCCGCAAAATATGTTCCCATTGGCCAGGTTATACTATGGACTAATTCAACTGAATCTCAGAGGATGGGACCTAGGCAGTGGTAGTTTTCAAAGATCCCCAGATAATTCTAATGTGTAACTTAGTCTCAGAACAACCCCCTTGACTTGTTTTCCTCCTGCCCGTCCCTCTCCTATATCTTGAAATCTTTCCACATAAACTACTTCATCTTCTTCAGTAATATTTATGCCTTTACTCATGAAAACACTGCTCTTCCCCTAACCAGCTTAGCTTTCATTACTTCCCTAAGTGGCTCAGATGCTATAGTCCATAGGGTCGCAAGGAATCAGACACAACTCACACACACACACACACACACACACTTCAACTACTCTCTTGTATGGTTGACCATCTGGCCCCATCACTCCTCTGCCATGCCCAGTCTGGCAAAACTTCAGATCTAAATTGGTCCAACTACATTCCTACTCTGTACTTAATAATGGAAACCAAGCGGAGATTAAGGCAGTGCTAATGCCACACACTGCTTGGTGATTCTTCTGAGTTTTCTTCTCGCTCCCATCCCACATGACAGATTTACCAAAGCTTCTCTCCTGTCTTCAAACTTTTAAGATCTGTTCTTTTTCAGAAGAAATAGGAATGAATAAGAACTGTTTTAATTTCCTATGACTGTATTTGTATGAACTTCCATATTTTTCTTCTACCTTCATATCACAACAGAAAAGGTACTCATTTTCTTATATAAGCCATCTTTTCACCACTTGCTGTCTCTTTACACTTTCTCACTCTCTAATTTTAGAGTTATATTTCTCTTACATTAATATTACTAATTAATACTAGAATGATTGTGCATTTCCCAAATAACACTCACTGATAAGAAAGAGCACATTTTAAACACCTAAGTCATCAAGAAGGATCCCTCCGAGGTTGAAAACAAATTCTATTTGGGATTGTTAACATTCTCTATCATTTATCGTAGTTATAATTGTACAGTCATTTACTAAGGAGTTTTGATTTTTAATTTAGTACTAGGCATGTAAAAAATGCTAACTACAGGATTAACTAGAGACCACAGGCATTACTTGGTTTTACAGAGAAACTGAGTCACAAGATAATTCCATTTGCTACTGAATGAAAAAAGCAGGCTGGTAATTAAGTGAAATTAACTTTCTTGGTGTAAATGCTTCAAATATGAAATTTCAGGAGACATCATATAAATAAATTGATATTACTTGTGTCTACTTAGATTCTATTTTAAAGCAGATTTTGAATTAGATGCTCTTTTGAATCAAGGAGACTTAAAATAAATATCATCTATATTTGCATATTGAAGGACCTTTAACTACAGGGCCTCTTAGCAATATGTTTTTCTTTTTTTTCCCCCTGATAAGACATGAACCCAGAGGATCTCTATGAAAGTCAAGGTCACAAGTTCAATGAGTAAAATATAATTCTGAAATTCAACAGATCTGAGCAACAGTGACAGTTATTTTTCAGAAAAGGTATTTGCATGTTAGAGTATACTCAAAAGGAAAGATCATACTGAGAACCATTAATAACTGTATAGTTTTATACCTATCTTATAATTGAAAGATTAGTTTTATCTACATAATACCTACAACTGTTGGTAGCAGAATATGATCAAATGTGACTACCTACAAGTTAACCTGCCATAAGAGAATCCCAATTTCTGACTATGGAAACTTCAATAATGTTTTAAAAGTTCATTTCCATAAAACATAGCACAGACTAGCTGCATTGGCAACATTCATAAATCTAAATCCAATTGCTGTGAAAGAAGCACTTTTTCTACCGAAAATATTTTACACTATAATTTATAGCAGAATATGTTGCTTGAACCAACATATTACTTGGCCTGTGGATGCCTTCATGTTCTATTTTAATTATCTGTATGCATATGAAATTGAGTATGAAGTAGTTATTACAAAATTATCAGTAGAGAATGCAACCAACATAGTGATTTTATAAGCCATATACATTGTACATAGTAGGTATTCAAAAAGTATCTATTGATATTACAGATAAAGATGAGCTGAATAAAATATATTAACAGAATCTGTATGTTATAGCTAGAGGAATTTAATGACTTACCCCAACAGAGCTGGTTTCAATCTATATTACTAACCCCCACATACTGCTCTTTAGGTTAGTTCAATAGATGTAGGTGAAAACACAGCTCTCTAAATATAATGGCCTCATTTGATAAGACCACTTCTCAGGATATTATGTGCTGTGAATATTTTTCTTCTAGCATTCAAGTACTAACACTTCCCCTTCACACCTCTCACTGCCCCCTGAAAATCTTGTTTTGGAAGAAGTGAAAGAAGGAAATATTGATGATATTAATCCTGAGGAAATAACCTAGGTCAATTTACTTATATTTTCCTACTGTGTAAAGTAATAGCAAACATCTGCCTAGACAGTGAATGTCCCATTGACTAACACTGCTAAAAGAATGAAAACATACTACCAAAAATAAAATGTTGCTCATCTCTTCCCCAGTTCAAAGTGAAGAGCTGGGAGAACTTTGTGAGTTCGAATGATATCATGTCTTCATTTGTCCATATTTAAAGATTTATTTATACATTTTAGTCCTATTATTTATCTAATAAGATGTACCATACTTAAAAGTATGTGATAACTTAAGTCAGAATGGTTTAGATAGTCTGTCTTCAGGAAAGGTGGGGAAAGCATGAGGGCAGATGTTTTAATATTATCATAGGAAAGAATTTGAGAAATTAGATTTTTCTATTTTCAAACAATACTTTGCCATTGTTCTCAAGGGAAACACTGACAAACATCTGTTTAAAATCTCAGTCCATTAGCATGTGGCTAGGTAGTGTGAACTGAAGTGCCAGCTTGCTGTTGTGCATTTATATCTTGAACTGAGAATCCTGCTCATGAACATCAGTTA